CCACGAGACCGGTAAACCCGACCCGCGTTATGCAAATCAACAACTTTCTTCTCCACCTAACTCTGGAGTTTCTTTAGCTTCGTCTAAATTCTGTACTTCCTTTCGCTGTCAGCACTCAGCACTGAGCAGACAGTCATTCAGAGGCATGGTCCCAAATTCATTGATTCTCTGGGAGTTTCGGGGTCGGCTCCGAGCCTGCAGCATAAGGAAATCAAAAGACAAGGTAGTGTAATTTCCTATTCGCGTGTCTTCTTTACTTGGCGAATCCAATTTTTCCTTGATTTTGGTCTTGTTTGCTTGTCGAGAAAATTGGTTGAGAATCTAGATTAACCTATAAACAAGAATTCATCCCATTGGCTGCAAAAGAGCTGCTATCTCACTTTCTTACGCAGCCTTCAATAGATTTGGAATCCATATCAAATCGGAATGCGTTGCATCAAGATGCTTCAAGCTCACAATCAACCGTGGAAAGGTGAGAACATTGTTATTGTATAGTAATGAAACATATGTGTGATTACAGTCAATGAAGATGAAATATTTTGCTCATTACCTGTTTCTCTCCCTTCCGTAGCTTAGGGCAGTTTGTAGTATGAGAAAAGAAGGGACACAAAGGTGTGCGCAGAAGAAGATTTGTAGTGAGGGCTTGAACTCGAATGAGGCAACATATTCTTTGACCTCAGTGTGGATTGATTCGGCCATGTCCAAGATTCTATTACTGACTTTCTTCTTTATCATCATGCAGTTGAAAGCTAGAAACAACTTTTGATATTCCCATTCCATAATCAGGAGCAAGATTCAGAATCGGCTAGACTTGAGGCAAATGTCGTTTCCATTGTGATTTGGTTAGATCCGGTGCAAAGCTTTGTGGTTGTGTTGCAATGTTATTAAGCATCTCCGAAATTGCAAATTTGGATCCCTACTGTCACTTCATCAACTTTAGCAATTCACTCGCTTTTAGTTTTCATATAATCTATATCAATGTCATTCAAATTTTTATATAAAAACCATAATGCGGAGGTTATTATTATTCTTATATAAATATCATAGTTTGCGTATTACTATTTATTAAGCGGCAATTTCGTAATTCTTTCAAACTTCAGGATATTCTTCTAAAGGCAACATAAGTTTTCATCTTTTTGCATTTTTTATTTCTTTTACCCATATGTTAACCTATTATTAGTTCCTTCTTCTTCTATTTCGTTTAACATCATTTTCTCTTTTATTTCTTTTGTGCACATATGATAATCTTTTAGTTTATCATTTATTTTTTTTTCTTTCATTTATTTTCATTCAAATTCTTATATAAATACCATAGTTTTGATGTTACTATTTATTAAGCGGTAATTTCGTAATTCTTTCAAACTTTAGTGATATTATACTAAAGGCAACATAAGTTTTCGTCTTTTTCCTTTTTTATTTCCTTTATTTTATTGGTTCCTTCTTCTTTTATTTCATTTAACGTCATTTTCTCTTTTATTTCTTTAGGCACATAGGTTGACCTTTTATTTTCTCCCATTTTTCTTTCATTTCTTTTCAGTATCGTTTTTATGTGCTAAACTGACTTTTTTTTCGTTCGTATTTTTATTTATGTCTCTCTTGCTTGATATAAAAACAAGGGAACAATCTTCATTCTGTATCAGAGAGGACGAACGTGGTATATGAACATACAAAATCAGTTGTTACTTTCTCCGTCTTTATTCTATGCTTTTATTATGTTTTTCATATTCTCTATTTCTCTTCTTTTTCCATCTCAATTATGAGTTTAGGGTGAATTTTGAGTTTATATTTCTATTTGTGGGGTTGAAAAGATGCATAATCAGTTATCTTTTGACCTTTTCCATTTAATAACACTTACTGAGACCAGATAGCTCCATTACGATGATATTGTCCGCTTTAATTCAAATCAACACATATTTACTTTTGGGTTTCTTCTCCAAAATGTCTATTACTAATGAGTTTCATGAACACTTATATATATTAGGGTATTTTCTCTCGTATATATGATAATGCGGTACTTGGATGGTACCATAACAAAATTCAAACGGCATGAAGCAAACAATCAATTTTGGTGGCTGCGAAACTTGCTGCCTCTTATAGAGATGACCTTTTTTCCATGCATGAGAAAGGAAGATATATTTTGCTAGAGCGGCAGCCACTAATGCTTAGGGAAAAAAAACCCTATTGCGTGAGAGAGGAAGATGATACATGGGAAAGGGAAATTATCTTATAAATTTCACAATGATGATTTTACCCTTCATATCCAAATGATCATTGGATTAAAATAAATATAGTGGCTCACAATAAATTTACAGCTGCCAAAGCATGCTTCATCTGACACCATAACCAGACAGAGATGACAAACCCAAACTGATACACCACACTAAATGAAGAAGTGAAGATAATTAGGAAACCACAAGTGAATGGCTATTTGCCGACAACTAAATTGCTATTTGTCGCCAACCACAACCAAATTGCTAAATAGCTCATCCAGCCTGGCCGTGTGAAGCCTCACAGAATTCCACACGGCCAAAGTGCAACTTCACATGGCCGTGTAGCTCACCCAGCCTGGCCGTGTAGCTCACCTCACAAGCCTCAGAATGTGTTGAATTTTTCTGATTCAATACATTCTCTGAAAGTTGGATATGTTGTAGATTGTGAAACTCCTTAACCAAAGATGTATATATATACTTTTTTTTTTTGGTTGGCGGCAAATAGCAATTTGGTTGACGGCAAATAGCAAGCCCCAACCACAAACCCATCCTCCTCACCCTAGCATGTTTAGTCACGGTACATGAAAGCAAGCTTGAATCGACTACCCTCACAAACCAGGAAGAAAGGTGTACTTGCCGATATACTAGAATTTATTGAATATGGAAGTTGAGTAACTCCGTAACCATTAGAATCAGTGAAACAACAGTGATTGCCGTCATAAAAAGCCATCATCGTCAAGCCTCCATCCGAGTGGGTTACCTTGGTAAACCACCAGTTGTCTTGGTCGAATGTGGAGATGCCACTGTTTATATAAATCTTGGGGGGAGGCGGCCAATCTTTGGCCTCTTCATCTACCATACTCAAATCTATGATTAATGGACACGACCAATAGCTTTTCTCGCTCATTTTTGAATGGAAGTACATATTAATACCTGATTGTCCGGCCACTCCCTTCCAAATATCACGTGGCACCAGCCGTCTTCTGCTTATGTTCTTGTTGACACCAGAAAGGGACAGTAACTTAGTTGTAGTTGTCTTTGCCCATGATTGCTTGCAACGCTGCTCCAGCGCATGACCAAGTTGTAATAGTTGGTCCCTTTGCCTTTTCGTTTCAGCCGCATTCTCTTTCATCATTTCTTCCCTCTCATTCACAAGCTTTTGCAATGCTTCGATAACTTTTCCCCCCTTTGCTAGCCTTCTTGTCATCTCTTCGTCGTTTTTCATTACCTCTTGCCTCAACTCTGTATTATCCTTCTTCAACTGGTGACATACATCACTATCCACCAGTACCTTCTTACCACTTCTTAGATTCTTCACTTCCTCCCTTAGTATTTCCAACTCCTCGTCTTTCTCTTTTCTCAACATCTCCATTTCATCATATTTTACCTTCAGCATTTTTCGCAGCTCCTTATCTTTTTTCCTTCCAAACTCTTGCAGCTCTGCCTCCTGCTTCTCTCTCGCATCCTCGATCTCCTCTTTTAGTTGTTGTATCTCCGCATCCTGTTCTTCCATCTCCATCATCTGCTTCCCTAACTTCGCATCTTTCTCTCTCGCCATCTTTACCAACTCCTCGTACCTCTCCTTGCTGCTCGCCCCGCGGTCGGTTATTGGCTGCTTCTCCCGTTTCGGTATGGTGTATTTGAACACGAGTCGTGGCCACGTGGTGGCGCTCGCTATGATGACACCATGATGTGGCCAGTTGAAAAGATCATTCAATCGGAGATAGTGAATTCCAAAGTTTTTGTGTTCGCCCAACTCGGTAACATCTTGAAAACAGTGACCTTGCGGACTCACCCTCAATTGCATCCGGGTGAGGTGTTGGGCTAGCTTGGTCAATGCCTCCCATCCTTCGATCTTCCCGTGTCCATCGAAGAACATCAGCCCGTCATAGGATTCCTCTTCCTCGTCTGTTGATGCACCGTCGTCGTCGTCGCTATCGTTCTCATCATCGCTTTCATCATGATCGCGAGCTGTGATGCTGGTGACTTCCTTCCAATGTTTCTTTCGGATGGAGGAAGGATTAATAGTAGGGTTAGTCAACTCGTAGACTTTGAGGGTGGTTCTGTCCGAGGAAGCAACGAAGTGCTTATCGGATTTGAAATCGAAGAGAACCATAATATGCTAACTGCTTTAATTCTGGTCGAGATTAGTGTCGGAGAGATTGGGATCTAATTAATACTAATCTTGATCGGAGATTGGGGATGGAATTGCAGAATTTCTATGGTGTCCACCATGTTATATATAATAACGTCTTCATGTATGGCTCTCCAACTGACCACTAATTGCCTTCACTAAATTAAATTTAATTATCATTATATATAATAGTGTATCTATTAATTAATCAGAAAATGGAGATTTCTAGGAAAGGATGAATTAGTAGTTAGCACTTAAACGTTGACTCTTAATGAAATGTCTCAGCCTCTTTATCCGACTCGCCTTGCATTTTACTATTTTTCCAAGTCTTAGTTGGCGCTTGGAAGAGTTTGTCATGTTCGGACTTTGGACTACGTCGAATATGACAATTTTCATATCTATGGGGAAAAAAAATTGAGCCAAGTATATAATTGTTATAAGTTTTGTATTACTATACTATTTTTTTTTTTACTACCATTGTATAAGTCTATATCACTGCGATGTAGGGCTGGGAAACAGTCCGGTTCGGTTTAAACCGGTGACCCGGTTTTTTGAAACCGTATTGGACAATTCCACGACTGAAGACGGGATTGGATTGTTACCCGGTTTTAACCAAACCGGACAGGATATAATACGGTTTGGTCCGGTTTTAACCAAAAAACTGGATCTATTTATTCCCTCCCAAAAAACACTGTCGTTTCTGATAAAAAAAACGTTGTCGTTTAAATTGGATTAAAAGAAATTCCCCTCACCTCCCACTCGCCACACAGTCACACACTCAAACAATACCTAATTCCCCTCACCATCCCAATTCCCCAATCTACGCCGCCGCTCTCTTCTAAAAAAAATCCTCCTAATCCCTAGCTCTGATTTTCATCAATCCATCCTTCACTTTCACTTCTTCATCTTCTCACCTCCCTCGCCGCTGCAGAAGTGCGGCCATCCTTGCATGCACCACCACCGTCCACCGCCATTCAAGTCCTCAACATAGGAGGTCAAGAAAGATCAATTGCTCGCTTCCGCCGCATCGCCGGTGAGAGAGAGGTCCAGCACTGGTTTGGGACCCAGATCGGGAGTTGTTTCAACTCTGAAATCACCGTCGCCTTCGCGCTGTCGCTGTCGCCCTGAGGAGATCGCGACCATGAACAGAAGGGGCATCTCAGTGCCATCGAACAGAGTCGGCGGCTGATTCGATGGTTGAGCGGCGATTTCGGCCGCCGGTCGACTTCTTCTTCGAGAGTAGAGGAGTGGAGTCGCGAGGCGACGGGAGATAGAGGAGAATCGTGAGGGATAGAGGGATTGGGTGGCCATGACGATTAGGGTTTTTGTGTATCTGGGCTTTTGTTTTGTGTTGGGCTGAGATTTTGAGAGGGGATTTGGGCTTCAAAGCTGGGCTTGGTGCAAGGCAGGGCTGGTCCCAGTTTCCCGGTTTTAACCGGGTTATACCTGGTACGGTTTTTCTCCAAATACTAGAAACCGGAATCCGGATTGGACCGGGTTGTAACCGGTTTCCGGTTACAATCGGGACGGTTTAAACTGGCCGGTTTCCGATTTGACCGGAAAACTGAAATCGGATTCCCAGCCCTACTGCGATGTATATTCTACCACTATGGTATAATTTCATACTATTATCAATTAACAAGTCCAATCTTATTGTTAAATATATTAAAGTGAATAAAAATTTGTAATTATAAATTATAAGGAATCTAAATTTTTTTATGGAAAAAAATAAGTTTAGCCTTCAAGTGCAATATCTAAACGGTGCAACTCTATAATCACATTTATAATTCAAGGGGTTGATCTAATAATAATGAAAGAACGAGAACATTCATCACATCTTGAATTCGTATATTAGAGTCAACAACCATCAACTGATCATAATGCTTCCAACAAGTTTATCGTCAAGTTTATGTATATATATGACAAAAGCTAGCGTACATCAGTTGTACACTGTACGCCTGTGTTCACACTTGGTTTTTGCACTTCAATATATTCCGCTGAATCAGAACAGTCGATTATTATTTTTCAGATTAAATGAATCTTGTGCCTTGGGTTAGAGAATTAGGGACTGGGGTTCACCCATTAGAGGTTAAGGTATAGTATCATCCCCAAACTCCGGTTAATTCGGGTTCTAAATAGTAAAACTCGACGGGTGTACATAGTACTTTCGAATTTTAAATAGTAATGTTATGTTAACTTTCTTTGTAAAAGGTCATAGCTCCAAAAGTCTCAAATTCCGGCTAATTACAAAGAATCGTGGAGAATTTCCTACAATTGTCGTGTTTGTGAATGGGAAAAATGCGTTGTTAGTATATGACCGGCGAGAGTGAAGCATTGATAGGGATTGGTGTGTGTCAGTTGCTAGTGACGGATAAGTGATGCATGTGATGAGTTGTGACTCATTCTTGAAGGCAGTGATACTGATGAAATGACGAGCTAGAGTGAATAGAGCTTGATGGAGACGACGAAATGGATGATCCTGTTCGTCGCTTGTGAAATTTGAAAGAAAGGAAAATAAATTACTGGAGAGGAGTAAGGAATGACAAGGAAAATCATATAATAGAAACGAAGAATATAAATGAGTAGGCAAAGACATAGTTACAAATTTTGGACTAAATATTCGTCATTTGAAAATAACTTATGAAAAGAAGGCATTTAAAAATGATTCGCTGCATCACAAGGAGCAATTGTGAAGAATAACCATTCGTTAACTCGAAAACCTTCATAGGCAGAATTCCACTTATTTATCGCTATACTCATTTGGAATTTTTTACAAACGAATCGTTCACATATTACTCTTTAACAAACGAGTCATATCAAATGATACAATTGGATTATTTCATACTAAATCAAACATACAAATGCACTTAATAAACCGGCAACCCCAAGAAAGAACCAACACAACAAAACAAATTAGATGGCCTAGCCCAACGGACATTATCATTATTTTTTTAGTAGGCTTTGCCGAGTCAATAATAATACCATTAAAGTACTTCCCCCGTTCTGAAATAAGCCGCCGACCCCAACAAAACATATTACAATTCAATTTTTTTATTTAGAAAAGTCAATTTATTTGTGGTGGTGAGAGAGCCGGGCTTAGGATAGGGTCGGTAACCATTGATTACTGATTTATGAGTAACAAAATTTGGACCTTTAGATATAGGATTGCTAATTATCGCCCTACCCTTTTTATAATCGCCCTAACTTACCAATTAAAATTATAATTTTACCCTTCTAAAATATTTTATTATAATAAACACAAACATCTAAAAAAAAAACTACCGGCCGCCACCACAACTTTCCACCTCCGGTCGTCTTAACCGCATCGATCACCAACCCCTTAGTAGTGCATAGGTTCCTATAGTAGTCAATCCATCGAGATGCCACTGATCAATTTATTAATTCTCAACGCGAATCCACTCCATCTTTGTTCTATCTTCCAATCCCCGATGCAAGTGCAAGAGCGTTGACAGGCTGCTACCGCCATTGCCAGGAACATACTCGTCGCGCATGAAATTATTAGCCCTCAATGAATTATAAGGAGGAAATCGCCGCTTTGTTTCCCTCTACAGGCAATCTCAAACATAACCCCCTATATATATAGTAGTTATATAGTGATGGTGAGGGAGAATAAGGACGACAGGAGAGAGTAGAGGAGGATTGGGTGGTTGTCGGAAGGATGTTGGCGGCGGATTGGGTGGATGCAGGAAGGACGTCAACGACGGATTGAGTGTTTTTTTTTTTTGTTAGGATGGATTTTATTTGTGATTTGGTTTTCATTTTATAGACAATTATGTAACTTTGATTTTTAAGTTAGGGCGATAGTAGTAAAATTAGGGCGACGTTTAGCCGTCTAGTAGATCTAAGTGGGTCCAGAAAATTTAGATATAAAGGTTGTCAATTAAAAGCATTTTATTTTTCCTACTTTTCTTAATCGGCTCTTATCTTCTTCGTTCTAACTCAGATTTCAATTTTTTTTTTTTTGCACAAATGGAACGAGTTCGTTGTGCTTAACAAAATGAGATCAATTTTCAATATATTTCGAGATTTTTTTTTACAAACTACATACCATATGGTAACTTCTTCGTTTTTAAGTCGTTTTTAAAACGTTTGCTAAGAAGGAACGAGTTCATCATGATCTATTGGATCTATAAATTTCTGGGTGATAAAGCATGGCTTGATTAGCTAGCCATGACATGGAAAGGAAATTGAGCTAGTTAAGTTTTACTTCTTTTGTCGGGGCCTAGCATTTTATAAAAGGCTACGGATGCATGGCTTTGTAATCAAAGCCAAAATTTGGCTAAGGGAGGTGCTGCCGAGATAAGTATTATTTTTAGGTGGTCAAATTGAGTTCAACAACTTAGTGCATAATTCGTATACACTAAGTTGTGGGGGCATTTTTTTACCCTTAAGAAAATCAACTTGTACCACATCGATTAACTATAAGAGAATTAATGGATTTATAAGGCCAGCTCAACATTTAGTAATTAAAAGAGCTAGCTGGGCCATGTTGGGTTGTGTTTTTGGGCCTAAGTGGCCAAGCTCTTCTCAATAAATGATGGTCGACCCGTCTTCTTGGCCCACATATCTGGACGATGCCTCCACCCCTTGGTATGAAATTTGGCTCCCAAAAACTAAGTCTGGAAACAAGGTGACACAACGGGGTGCCAAACGACCGGGTACCATTACCAAGACGGGTACCAAATAGGAGACCATCTAAAAACTAAGTATGAAAACAAGGTGGCACAACGGGGTGCCGAACCACCGGGCACCAAGCCGGATATCAAATAGGAGGCCATCCAAAAATTAAGTCTAGAAACAAGGAGGCACCACGGGGTGCCAAACGATCGGGTACCATGACCGGGGTACCAAGTAAGGGGGTCAACGACGGGGTATCAAGCCGGCAAGACAGGGCTTGGTACTATGACATAGAATTTGGCTAAGTATAGAGCCAAAGGGGTATCAAGCCGACATGGCAGGCTTGATAAGACATATGAAAATTGGCAGGGCTTGGTACTATGACATAGAATTTGGCTAAGTATAGAGCCAAAGGGGTATCAAGCCGACATGGCAGGCTTGATACCAAAATATATAAAATTTGGCTAAGTATAGAGCCAAAGGGGGTACCAAACCAGCAAGGCAGGGCTAGTGCTAAGACATATGAAATGAAAATTGGCTAAGTATGGAATCCCATGGCCATGGAGCCGTACGACACGATGTCATACCACCCATAGCAAGAGGTTACAAGCCGACAAGCCTACAATGTACCAAGCCGGCAAGACAGGCTTGGTAGCCAAGCAAGGCGACAGGGTACCATGACCCCAAGGGGGTATCAAGCCGGCAAAGACTGACTTGGTGACCATGCAACAAGGGGCAAATCTAGGTAACAACTAAGAGAGTCATACAGAAACTAAGTCGGGATATCAAGCCGAGAAGACAGACTTGATAGCCAGACATCAGGGTATCAAACCAACAAAACAAGAAATTTCACTAAGGCAAGGTGGCTAGCTGAGGTGGTCACCCAACTAGGTATCAAACAGCCATGGATGGATCAGCCAGGATGCTGGGCTGAGGGTGTCAATATGATGGGGCCATATGGAGACTAAGTCCCAAGATGTTCTTGGTGGCCCCTAACGAGTACCAAGTCGGCAGGGTGTAATGTACCAACTTGATAAGATTACAGAGGCTAAGTATGGAGACCAAGCCGGCACAGATGACTTGGTAGCAAGGGTATCAAGCCGACAATATTGGCTTGATACCAAGATGACAAGTTGGTGCAATGATAGTCTCTCTAAGACTAAGTGTGGAGACTTGGGGGGTAAAGGGGTCAAGTTCTCATCCTGTCTAGGTGGATAATATGGCCTAGCTATCAAGAAGGTTCATCGAGGTGGCTAGCAAGATGAGGAGCGTGGAGTCGTTAGGGCTGTGAAGGATGTGATCAAGACTTCATCATGGAGGATAAGGCAAAGAGGCTCAACACCAACCCGGCCCGACATCAAGACCATCAAGTACCCACCAGCCCCAAGGCGGGACAAGGGCCCCCAAGGCGGCGGTTACCATCTAGTCACTAAGGCGGCGACAAGGGACCCCAAGGCTGTTTGGAGCAAGAGGGGCACCAGCAGTTACTACGATGGTTACCAAGGCAGTTACACCGGTGGCTATAAATAGGAGAAATGAAGACGGGAAAAGGGTTCCACAACCAAACATTTGACGCACAATGTCAAAGTTTATCTTTTCACTGCAACTTACCTTTTAGTTTTTCGGAGCTCTCACTGAACCTCCATCGGAGTAGAGTAATGTAACTTAGCTTGTTCCAAAAAACCATCAAAAACATCAAACACCCTCGTTCGAACATTGTTCGGAGAGGAGTGGACCGTGTTATTGTCGTTGTTCAAGAAGTCAAAGGTGCATTTATTGAGTTCAAAAATAAGTTTTTCCTCGCCGGAAAACAAATTCTAAGAGTTGCACAGCTGAGAAAAAAACTCGGCGTTCCATTTACCTACCGCCAACACTTCTTCTTCGATCAAATAGTCCGCTTGTAAAATACGGTACGGGTAAGTTATGTATAAAATACGTCTAGGTATTTTAATTTGTTTCTAATTTAATAGTACGTTTAATAGTGTGTCAATAGATATAAAATATATATACATAATGATTTTAAAAATAAATTTATATATAACTAATAGTTAAGTTAAAAATTTAATTCATTACAGCACATATTTAAAATAATAATCTTGTAATTTTATTGACATTAAAAAAATCTTGTGCTTTTATTGACATTTAAAATATTTAATTCAATACTTGTACAGATGAGATATATTATTTCCAATTAATAATAATATTGTGATTTTATTGGCATTTAAAAAACCATATTTAGTTCATAGCACATCACTTGATGTTGCGTTGTATATAAAAATATAAAAAGAATGATGTAAAAGTATTAAAATAATTGGTAGTAGTGACGGTAATTTGAACCCGTCTCGTTGGGTATTACCTGACCTAATTAGTGTTGGGGCATCTAGTAGCGTGGGGTGGAGCATGTGTACTACTTTCGTCCCGTGCCGCCTTGTCTCGCCCGTTCTTCACCTGTTTTACCTTGATTTATCTCAATATTTAATTATATTTCTCCTATTTTTACTAGTCAGAAATCATATTTTCACACAATGATACTTTAGATCAAGGTTGTCAACCAGGCTTAGCCTGTCGTCCCTGTCGAACTAGTGAGTCAAGGGTTAATCGGTCCATCGGTTTAGCCTGTTTTATCGTAATTTAACTCGGATATTTGGAAAAAGTAATCATTATATTGTACGTACATATATAAGTTACATTAAATCTCATCTAATATATAAATAATAACATATAACATTACACCAAAATAATAATACGTAGTTCAACACAAAACATACAATGTACAAATCATTGATGCTATAACTCACTATTTGGAGCAAAACCCCTCCAAGCTATCTTGGCTACCCTCTGGGCGCAAAGCCCAACGCTATCTCTCTCTGGATCTAATTGTCTCTAAATATCAAAAGAGGCTCGAAGGTGGAAAATTCTCTATTTATCTTCTGGAGGAAGGCTTACTCTAAACAGTTCGGTGTTTAACAGTCTCTCTGTTTATCTTTTCCCTCTTTTCAAGGCCCCCTTGACAATTATTGATAACATGGAGAAGATACAACGGAAGTTCTTATGGAGTGGCTCGAGTGACAGCCAAAAAAACTCACTTATTGGTTGGGTTATGTGCAAAACTGCTAAAGAGAATTGGGGTCTTGGCATCTACGATTTGGCCTCTTTCAATAATGCCATGTTAGTCAAATGGTTGTGGAGATATGCTGTTGAGAAGAATAGTTGTCGGAGATTGTTGATCGAGATCAAATATCCAAATACAGGTTCATTGTGGGCTAACAATTAATTCAGGATATTCTAGCTATGTGTGGGCTAATAATTCCAAAGGTTATGATCTTTTCTGGAAGCCCACTCATTTTGATCCAGGGGGAGGAGGACATGTTTCGTTTTGACACAATTGTTGGATTCCAGGAAATATTCTTGCCTCTACGTTTCTTCGTGTCGCTGCTGCAGCTTCTAATCCTGAAGTCCAGACCTGCGATGTTGCTTCTCTTTTAGGTAAGATGATGAAATGGGATTTAAACTTGCATATAATTTGAGAGGGGGGTTGAGAGGGAAAAAGTGGACCTTATTAACCTTTTAAACTCGGTTGATTTACTTCAGAGTTCTAATAGCCCCTGTAGAGTTATTTGGTCTCCAAAACCGGAAGCTTCTTTTTCTGTTTGCTTTGTGTACAAGAAGTTGATGAAGGAAAGATTCCTGGGGATCCAGAATTATGTTGTCGACTCAGTTTGGTGGAAAGTCATTCCAATTAAAGTTTATTTTTTCCACTGGTTACTCTCGCATAAGAGAATACTCACCATCGACAATCCGAAGAGGAGAGGATGGGCCCTTACAAATCGATGCAAGCTCTGCCACAATAATGAAGAGACAGCTGGCAATCTCTTTTCTGATTACTGTTTTGTTCGGGAGATGTGGGATTTGATTCATCAAGGCTGCAGAACTGTGAACAAACCTACTGGAAATATTTTGTCAATCATCCAGAGCTGGCCTTCCGCCATCCCGGACTGCAGTAACGGTTGGTTCATCTATTGCATTCTTCATGGTGTGTGGTGCCAGATTTGGCTTGAACGAAACCACCAAATCTTCCAGAGTGCCCAACTGACACAGGGAATCATTGCTTAAAAGACTATTTGAATGGTCATTTCTTGGCTTGTTGCATACAGTATACTGGAGAAAGTTCAAGGAGATATCTGGATGGCAAAACTATCTTTCAACGTCCTGACGTTGCTTTTCCTTAGGTGTTTCAGTCTTGCCCTCTGCTACTTTTCTCCAGATGAGGTGTTTGCTCTTTTCCATGACTCTTTGCCTTGTTGTTGCTGTGTTTTCTTCAAAAAAATTCGGTTATCACATCTTGTGAAGCCTTGTTATTTTTGTTGTTTATTCTTGTTGTATTCCTCTGTTGAACCTCTTTCTACATTTTCAATATATTTCACCATTATAAAAAAATTTTATATATTATTTAATAATAATAATAATTTTCTGACAAATAGTGTGATACTTCTTTCCTTGTTCTTTCTTGCTAAATTGATCTTTACTGGTGGCGGCTTTGGTTTCTTTCCTTTTATGCCCGAGGTAGCCATTGCTTGATTAATTCTTCACGGCTTGTAGTGAAACCCTTCGCGTTACAGCTTGAGCTCATCTAGGTGCTACCACATCATTGCATAGCTGGAGCTAACATTCTCCCCCTCAGTTTGGCAATGACCATACATGCACTTTCAACACAAGAGAACTTCTACTTGCTAGGCAAAGATAGTTAAGCAGATAAATCAGGAAGATCATAGTAACGCAAAAGCAACAAAAACCATAAAAACACTTATTCAAACATCCACTGAAACCAGTTTTTAAAACTTTCGAGAACTAGTTAATCTCAATAACTTGAATTGTTGGAAGATGTTCAATTGTGGATCTTATAGTACTCATTAACACAAACATCTATCATCAGATCTTGTCGAGCTATAAAGTCGGCTTAATAGCATAAAAGAAAACAAGTACGAGATAGAAATAAACTCCCCCTCACTCAGACACTATGAAGTGTTATCAATCATATTCGAGGTAAGATTCATAGTCACATATGTCTTCATCAGATGGCTTATATAACTCAGGGTATTCTGGTGGTGGCTCTATCCTGCACCTAGCACTCGTCTCTCCAGAATCCCCCAATCTTGATACTTTTTCCTACAGTGGTAGGATGAGAGTCCACCTCATTATTATAGCTAGCTTGTTTCTTAAGTTCAGCTCTCAAACGAAAATAGCCCATATCTGAAATACACTTGAGCTTCCTCTTTTCAGTTCAGACGTATCCTTCTTCATGATCCTCCTAGCAAAAGCTGCTAGGTCATCATCAATGTTGCGGACCACAGATCATTCATATTTTTCCTCAAGAACTTCAGCATCATTTGGAGCATACCTCTCTACCCCTAGGTCGCTGCCAAGCCTATTGTGAACCCTAGCAATGTTGGGCCCTAATTTTGAAATTTTTCAATGCTAAAATGGTTGTGATATGTGCTATAATTTTTTTTAAAGGACTAAAGATGTTTTCCATCTAATGAATCTAGTCATCCCATACAAGCATGATCACTTCTCATCTTATTTTAATCATCGAGTCTAGTTATATCATCACTTGATCTAGGAATGCTAGTGTAGTGACTGTGAAGGATGTGATAGTCAATAGGATGAAATGACCATTTGATGTGTTTGGATATCATATTGTGTGATTTATGCAAAGATTTCTGATTATGCAAAAATAGTCGGCTTTTCCAAAAGTTTTCAAAAGGGTGAACTGTATCTTTAGAAAAATGCAAAAGTTTTCTATTCACCAAGACATAATTCAAAAATTTGCCATGGTATGTTGAAAAATAAAGTGTGAGGTAAGCCTAACGTGTGAGGTATTTTCAAATTACACTATTGGGGTTTTAGAAGAGATACTAGTTTAGCTTTGGTGGGGTAGTCTTACAAGGTGATGCTAGTTTCTCTCTATTAAAAGTAAAAGGTAAAGATTGTAATTACATAAATGATTTATTTTACAATTAAAAATAAAATTAAAAAGTGGGCTGAACTCGTTATCCCTTCCACGCTCTCGCTGGCCGCCTGTTTCTAGGGAACTCCCACCGACCACCTAGGAATTCTTCCGTCCCCTCCCCGGTGGTCCCTTTCTGGAATTGGGGATTTTGCACCAAGTGAGTCCGTGTACATTTTTGGTACCTCGAGAGAGAGAGAGAGAGAGAGAGAGAGAGAGAGAGATCAACCTTGTAAATAGATATGTTAGTGGTTAGCGAGGTTAGTTAGTTTAGTTTTCTTAATCACCATCCTAGGTTGGTTAGATAACGAACCCTAAACTTGAAGTACGGTAAGTCTAAATTCCCGTGGTACGATAAATTTTTATTGCTTGATTTCCCTATACTACACCCGGTTGCCAGTTATACTTGACCGGCGATTGGGATGTATAGTTGGAATGAGTCAATAATCCATTGATTTATGATTTTATCCGACTAAATTTAAATATCAACTGGCAAGTGAGTCTATTAGCACTGAAACGGCTAAATATCAACTGCCAATACATGAAAAATACATTTATAATATTGGGAAATTAGGGTTTTATGATAAGACCAACTACTGAATTTGGAGAAAGCAGAGATATGCAATAATAATAATAATAATCATAGTAATAATCAACCAATTTTTCCTTGAAGTACTATAGAACACCGAAACTGTGGAACTGTGGATTACGCACACGAACCAAAACAAGAACTTAAGACAACCATCAACCATACAAGAACTCTTCTTCTTCACCTGTTGAGTAATACCACTACCCCTGGACACCTGATTCGTCAATCTCTTCATTTCCCCCAAAACGACAACGTTCGGTATTCCTTTCTTCTTCCTCTCGTTAGTTGATTCTTGCTCCCCCGTGAAAGTATAGCTCCTGAGGTACCTCTACCTCCACACATAGGCACCCGGACTGCTCGTATTGTTCTTACACCCGCCAGTTAACAATTATTTGTACGAAAAAGAATTTTTTTAACGTTAAATGGTTGTTTCATTAATAAGAAACACGTTGTACAGAGTTTATAAAAAACACTGAAAGGAAGGAAACACCAACTGAAAAGAGAAAACTAACAGTAGGCATCCCAAGGCCCAAACACGAAAAGCTTACCCATTAGAAACCCAAAAGAAAAGACTAATAGTGGGTAGCCCAAACCCGAAAGCCCACCCATTAGCAACCCTAACCAGCGGCCTAATCACCAACAAGCTATCATCCAAACGCATCCCCCACCTCCGCATATGCACCGCCAACGTCAACAGCGTCTAAACATGGTCATTCATCGTGGAAACAACGGAAGAAGCAGAGACTACTTCAAACACAGTAGTTCGAAACACGAGCGGTACCCCTTGAAAGACGATTCACCAACAAGAAGCAGAAAACAACAGAACACGTCGAGGAGAACCGTACCCAGATCTGGATCCACCATCTACCTAGAAAAAAAAAACAAGCAAACCAGAGAAACCAATCTCGGCTACACACAGAGGAAGAGCCATTGAAACACCACTTATCTGAGCAAAATGGCCAAAGAACTAGCTTCAAAGATGACATTCCTACTCACAAGCTCCCTGAAAAAACATCCAAGACAACCAAGGTCTATGCATCTTCGAATCATCCCCATTTATGGATGAAGCATGTGTGGAGGTAATTGGCAGACCAGAGAGGAGCAAGCGAAACCGAAGAATCGACCCCCTCAAACACCAACCAAGAGAACCTCCACACAGATATAGAAAACCAGTCAGGTGGGGAACAAAATCATCTCACAAGGAGACATGCAAATCATCACCACAAAGGTGGAAGAGGAAACGAAAGGAAGGAAAAATCTCAGAAAGAGCAAAAAGAATGAAAGGCACGAACGCATGGAAGAAAACGAAGGCTACTGACTGAAAACAAAGCTGGAAACGAAAGAAAGACAACAAAAAGGAAAGAGGAGGAGGGCCACCGTCAGTCCTAGAGGGAAGCCGGCGGTAGCCCTTGGAAGATGATTTTGAAAATCCAAAAAAGGTAGAGAGAAGGCAGAGACAAAGAAAGATTAGAATAATAAATCACAAACCACATTAAGAAGAAGAAGAAGAAGAAGAAGAGAAACTACTCGCGATATTGTTATTGCCATTACATAAATAAAATAAAATAAATACAATGAGAAACCGCCTTTTTGCGATTTCTTACATCACCATCTTTTTTTCCGCATATCAGAACTGTTGGGGGTGTTGCTAAGGGACTCCCTGCAGAGACTAAGTAATACCGCGTCCAATCGACAACGTATGACGCTCTAAACCCGCTACGAGTATATAAAGGTATGAAACCCACCAAGGAAAGGGGGGACTTCTCTCTCTCCCCTCACTTTCCACTTTCTACTATCTCTCTACACTTTATCTCTCTATCTATTCTCTCAACTCTCTCCTCAAACATACACTGACTTGATCGTCGGAGCTTAATCCGGGGGGCAACCCCGGCTCTTTCACAGGTTCTCTCCTTCCCGGCGAGATCGGACGAACAGATGACTTGTTCGTGTCCTGAGCTTGATGGCACAAACAATTGGCGCCCACCGTGGGGCATTGACTTAGATTCTGGCTTGTTTGGTTTCCGAAGGAGGGTGGGGATTCCTCAACACAAAAATTAAGGAAGCTACAGAGCAAAGAAATAAGAAGATCGGGGCGCAGAGGAGAAGAAAAGGGGGTTCCCAAACCTTTCCAAAACCCATCTACCTTCACTGCTCCAGGTTTCCCACTTATCCAGTAGCAAGAAGAGAAGGACAACAAAATCAGATGGTAGCAACGAAAAAGAAAGAAACAAAAAATTGATGAACGAAGAACAGCAAACGCAGATTCCGACGAGCCCATCCATTCCCGACGAGGCTGCAAATGTCGTGCAACTCAGTTTTGAGAGCAGTCCAAATCTAGCGTCCTACAGGAAAGAAGAAACTCTTCTTCCACCACTAAAAGCTGCAGCAAACTGCAGATCAGAGAAACATAGAAAAAATATAGATCTGAGAATCAACAGAAGGTTCAAGGTCAAGTACTCTCCCTCAACATACCAAACGACGGCATCACCAGTCACCGATCCCTCCAGCGTCGATGCCAATGGTCCAGCCCGCATATCGAGAAGAGAGGAAAGATACCCATATCTACTTTTGCGTTATTTTCGTTAATCTCTTCGGAGATCCATAATACTCTGCGGGTGATGGAACCAGAAGAGAAAAGGCATAGGAATCTGCAACGAAAAAGAAAGAGAATCGGGGTCTTCTCTCTGCTTCCTTGCAAGGTGTCACACTCCCAACTCCACCGCGTTCAGCGCGCTCCCCGCTCTCCCTTGCTTCCGCTCACTTCAACGGCCGCGCGACTAAGACAACTTAGCTCCCATCTGCGGCCGCGTGTCTAGACGTCGTCGATTCTCTCAGTATCCATTCTACTCAATTTTAATTGAAAGGTGAAATGCTCCCTCACCCTCCTAATCAGCCGTGGTTGAGCTCTCTCTCCCAGCTCTCTCCGCGCGTGAAAACGGTAATGGTGCTGTCTCTGCAAAAAAAAAAAAAAAAATTCAATCACAAAGAAGAATGCCCACCGCTACTCTCCTGAGTCCTGATCAGCCCGCCAACACCTGTATCCAATTTCATTCCACAAGCCCACTGCAACTTGGCCCGCGCCCAAGCGCACTGTCCACCTCGCGGCCCAAACTCGCGCGCCATGTAGCCCAACTCGAAGATCGGCCCATGTCACAAACGCCCATCTCGCCTCCACCTCGCGAATCGACTCACTTGGCCTGATCCACCTCAAGCTGATGGCGCGCCCGTTCCGCTCCGTCACCTGGCCACAATCCGACCCGCGTCACATGCATCCGCCAGCAACTCGGCCCGCTCCCAAATCCACAAGGAGTAGGCCGCAGCGAAGCTCCGCCGCCAAGCCCCGCTATCCGCACCATGATCTTTCAATTAGCGGACCACTAGTGCGCCTGCAACTCGCGGCCCACAAGATGCACCCGGCCCGCCAAGTGAAGCTCCAGGCCGCTCTACCGCCGCCTAAAGCCCGCAACGCGGGCCCACTTCCGACATCCCGCCAGGCCCAAGTCGCGATCGCGCGGCCAACTCGCGCCCCGCGTCCAACAGGCGCCACATCAAAAATATTATTGTCGCCGCGAGGGCTCGAACCCGCGCCACTCCTGCACTAGACAAGCATTCTGACAAGCAGGCTACAAGCGACCATTGTGTTTCAATGGCGCGGCGTCTGATTTTGCACTATTCGCGCCCACTCAGTTCGAAAGAACAAAAAATAGCAATAGTCACGCACTATTCGCGCCCACTCAGTTCGAAAGAACAAAAAATAGCAATAGTCATGCACTATTCGCGCCCACTCAGTTTGAAAGAACAAAAAATAGCAATAGTCACGCACTATTCGCGCCCACTCAGTTCGAAGAACAAAAAATAGCAATAGTCACGCACTATTCGCGCCCACTCAGTTCGAAAGAACAAAAAATAGCAATAGTCATGCACTATTCGCGCCCACTCAGTTCGAAAAAAAAATCATTATATCTACATATCTGAGTCCGCGCATTATCTCCGCCCTAATCAGCCAAAAAAAAAAAATTGTTGTCGCCACCAGGAATCGAGCCCGCGCCACTCCTTCAACATTCAAGCACACTAACCAGCAGTCTACAAGTCGAGTTGTGAACATTCACGAGATAGGCCTATTTCAACAAACTTTGCCGCGGCCTCTTCAAGTCAAAACTAATCACTCATATCTCCCGGGCCGCGAGGTCAAGCCCGCTCGTTCTCATTCCGTGTTGGCCTGCTCGCGCCCTCTACTCGCGATACGCAAGCTCCCTCACTCCTCTTTCCGCGCGTCAGCCATCATACATCCCGCGGGTCAGCCACCACTAGCTCGCTCGCGTTCCCCGGCCCGCCAAGCCCACTCGCGGCTATAACCTGCGCGCTATGAACTCGCGGATCAGCCACCACCTCGGCGCAACGAAGCCCGGAGGTCCAAGTCCAAGTTCGCGGCCCACTAGCTCGCTCGCGTTCCACGGCCCGCCAAGTCCAAGCCCACGATCATCTCCAACTCGCGGCCCACAAGCTCGTTCGAGTTCCCCGGCCCGCCAAGTCCAAGCTTCGCATCGCTTCAAAAAAAAAAAAGAATTGTTGTCGCTGCGAGGGTTCGAACTCGCGTCACTCCTCCGCGTGACAAGCAACAATACCAGTAGGCTACATACGCGCCTTGTGCCAAAATAGTGCGGCGCATTCCACTTAATCGGTATCCTGCCGCCTCTCCAATTTAAAGCTAAGTACTCTATCCATCTATCATTATTAAATATTGAAATATTTTACTTTCATGAGCGCTAATGGGGGGCAAGACGCAAAAAGCTGGCACCGCGTCAGTCAAACGCGCCACCAGCTGGGGGGCAACTGGGGTACATAGCGCCCCACCCAAAATTACCGACGACGAAGATTTAAAAAATAAAATATAAGCTAGTGATGAGTTAAAACTCACCACCAGCTTGGGGGGCAATTGTTGGGGGTGTTGCTAAGGGACTCCCCGCAGAGACTAAGTAATACCGCGTCCAATCGACAACGTATGACGCTCTAAACCCGCTACGAGTATATAAAGGTATGAAACCCACCAAGGAAAGGGGGGAACTTCTCTCTCTCCCCTCACTTTCCACTTTCTATTATCTCTCTACACTTTATCTCTCTATCTATTCTCTCAACTCTCTCCTCAAACATACACTGACTTGATCGTCGGAGCTTAATTCGGGGGGCAACCCCGGCTCTTTCACAGGTTCTCTCCTTCCCGACGAGATCGGACGAACAGATGACGAGTCAACCCACACCAACAAATATCATTGTTCGTGTCCTGAGCTTGATGGCACAAACAAGAACCAAATAGTGTTTTGGTAGTCGTCCTTGTCAATCAAATTAGGAATTAATAAATAGAAAAAGAAATGAATAATAACAAACAAAAAAAATTAATAAAAAAATTAAAGTAATTGTTTCTTTCTCCGTTTGGAGTTTGGGGTACCTTCAAAAGTTAGTGGGGTTGCAGTTTCCGAATATACTCCAGCAACGAGCCCGCAGCTACCGAGCTGAGTGACTCCTTCCATTCTGCCCACAGCTGAAAATGCCTAGCAGTTTCCGCACTGCCCTTGGTCTTTGATCGGAGTGACGACTCCCTTCTTCCTCCAGTTCGTGATGGTTGGCACTCAACACACATTTTCATACCTAAAGGATCCTTCCAGCGAGGAACACATGTGGCCATTGAATCCGCACCTAGTGGTAATTACACACTTAAAGACATGTAAAATACATTCAACATTTACACACTTAACTATGCCTCATTCATCTCTGAAAGAAATGTAAAATACATTTGTTGATGCAATTGGAGGTTTGATTTCGAGGGACTAGTTAGTATAACAACATCTCTTGTGTTGTTAGGGTGACAATACTAGTCTTCAACTAATAGGAAGCTAGGGTTGTGATGACTTTTTATTAGTTAAGTTGACCTAGTGTAAAATCAAAGTAAGGGTATAATTGTCATTATGAATATTATGTTTAAATAATAAATAATAATAAAAATATTAAATATTTAAAAATGTTTTTACTATGTTTTCTTTGTGTGGTTTCTAGTATGTTTTAGTGGATTTGTGGTATACATTAGGGGATTTCTGGTATGTTTTTTGTGATTTGTTTATCGCTTTTGTGCTTTGCATTACGAGGTTTTTGGTGTGTTTTAGAAATAGTTGTGCTTTACTTTGTGGGGTTTTTTATTTGTTTTAGGAGATTTGTGCTCTGAATTCGGAATTTTACGGTATGATTTTTGTGGAACAAATTACTCAATTTGAATGGAACAAATTACTTGATACAACAAATTAATTGCTACTCGGTACTTACTTCTCAAAGAACTAACAACAAGCTGAACAATAAACACTGATGCTCATCACCGTTGCAGTAGCCAAATATTTACAAAAAAAGACATCAACCTTGGCTCAAGATAGGGAATGGATCAGGTCAGTAACCTTATGGTGAGTAACAATGAGTAATCCGTCCACATCAGTATGACATCGGTATCCTCTATCTCCTGGAAAACCTTTAATTTTCCCCTCTTTAATCTTTGACAGACGATTTCTCACTCATTTTAAGTCAAAATTTAATTATTTTTGCACAGTTAGATCAGATTAATTGTGCTCTTCAAAATGATATCCACTTTAATATATTTTTCGAACAAAAAAAATTGAGCCATTTTTTACCAGTCTATACCATATGGTATTGACTGGTATTGAAATAAAAACATACCTATGGTTTGAAAAACGTACCATGGTGGTATGAACAAACCAAGACTGTAGGATGGTTGAATAAATGGTAGTAGAAGTATATTAATTGTCATTTACGACTTTTAACATTGTATACCACACAATACCACCCCGTACTAGGGTGGTATTGTATGGTATTGTGTTGTATTTTTTTGTCCTGTAATTTGTTCACACAGAAATTTGTAGATCCAATAGATCATGATGAACTCGTCTCTTCTGTGCAAACGTTTTCAAAAACGAATTAAAAACGAAGAAGATACCATGCAATACCACCCTGTACCATGGTGGTATTGTATGGTATTGTGTGATATTTTTTTGTCCTGTAATTTGTTCACCCAGAAATTTGTAGATCCAATAGATCATGATGAACTCGTCCCTTCTGTGCAAACTTTTTCAAAAACGAATTAAAAACGAAGAAGATACCATATGGTATGCAGTTGGTACCGAGAGGCCAGAATTTTTTTTTCTCAAAAAATATTGAAAATTGATCTCATTTTGTAAAGCACGATGAACTCGTTCCATCTGTGCAAAAAAAAAAAATTTAAAATCTGAAATTAAAACGAAAAAGATATGAGTCAATTAAGAAAGGTAGGGAAAATAAAAATGACCTTTAATTCTCCATCCTTAAATCTGGATTTTCTAAATGAAGGGTCCAGATTTGGTTATTGATGGGTGCATAACCTTATTGAAAATAAAAATGACCTTTAATTCTTCATTTTGAAAATCCAGATCTAAGGATGGAGAATTAAAGGTCATTTTTATTTTCCCTACCTTTCTTAATTGACTCATATCTTTTTCTTTTTAATTTCGGATTTTAATTATTTTTTGCACAGATGGAGTGAGTTCATCGTGCTCTACAAAATGAGATCAATTTTCAATATTTTTTGAGAAAAAAAGAATTATGGCCTCTCGGTACCAACTGCATACCATATGGTATCTTCTTTGTTTTTAATTCTTTTTTGAAAACGTTTGCACAACAGGGACAAGTTCATCATGATCTATTGGATCTACCAATTTCTGGGTGAACAAATTACTAGACCAAAAAATACCACACAATACCATACAATACAACCTTGGTACGGGGTGGTATCTTATGGTATACAATGTTAAAAATTATAAAATGACAATTAGTATACTCTACTATCATGTATTCAACCATCCTACAGTTTGGTTTATGTCATACCACCATGGTACGCTTTTCAAACCATAGGTATGCTCTTATTTCAGTACCAGTCAATACCATATGGTATAGACTGGTAAAAAATGACTCAATTTTTTTTGTTAGAAAAATATATCAAAGTGAATATCATTTCGAAAAGCACAATTAATCTGATCTAACTGTGCAAAAAAATTATATTTTGACTTAAAACGAGTTAGAAATTGTCCGTCAAAGATTAAGGAGAGGAAATTTAAAGGCTTTCCAGGAGAGAAAGGATGCTGATGTCATGCTGATGTGGACGGGTTACTCATGGTTACTCACCATAAAGTTACTGACCTGATCCATTCCCAGCAACGTTCCACGGGAGCAGATCCGGTGAGTAACTTTGAGGTGAGTAACCATGAGTAACTCGTCCACATCAGCATGACATCAGCATCCTCTCTCTCCTGGAAAGCCTTTAATTTTCCCCTCTTTAATCTTTGACAGACGATTTATCACTCATTTTAAGTCGAAATTTAATTTTTTTTTTGCACAGTTAGATCAGATTACTTGTGATCTTCAAAATGATATCCACTTTAATATATTTTTCGAACAAAAAAAATTGAGCCATTTTTTACCAGTCTATACCATATGGTATTGACTGGTATTGAAATAAAAGCATACCTATGGTTTGAAAAAAGTATACCACAAGATACCACCCCGTACCAGGGTGGTATTGTATGGTAATGTGTGGTATTTTTTGGTCCTGTAATTTGTTCACCCATAAATTTGTAGATCCAATAGATCATATGATGAACTCGTCCCTTCTGTGCAAACGTTTTCAAAAACGAATTAAAAACGAAGAAGATACCTTACAATACCACCCCCGTACCATGGTGGTATTGTATGGTATTGTGTGGTATTTTTTGGTCCTGTAATTTGTTCACCCAGAAATTTGTAGATCCAATAGATCATGATGAACTCGTCCCTTCTGTGCAAACGTTTTCAAAAACGAATTGAAAATGAAGAAAATACCATAGTGTATGCAGTTGGTACCGAGAGGCCATAATTTTTTGTTTTAATAAAATATTGAAAATTGATCTCATTTTATAGAGCACGATGAACTCGCTCCACCTGTGCAAAAAAAAAAACCGAGTTAAAACGAAAAAAATATGAGCCGATTAAAAAAGCTAGATAAAATAAAAATGATCTTTAATTCTCAATCCTTAGATCTGGATTTTCTAAATGAAGGGTCCAGATTTGGTTATTGATGGGTGCATAACCCACCCTATCTTGAGCCACCTTCCACTGCCTTGACCACACTCATCTCTTCCCTCCAGTTCGACCCTTCCAAAACCGAACCCCTCCACCGCTTCATGCGCCTCCTCGTCCATGTCGGCTTCTTCACCATTAGTGTTACTAATCAACCAGGTAGTCCCCGATTTCTCTCTGCTTCTTGTAATCGAAAGCACAATCAATGAGCAAGAGAATGAGATTTGTAGTTTTGGATTGAAAGCGCTTTGGATTTTGGAGTTTCTATTATCTGCTTGGCGAATCTGGAACGGTGAGGGAGAAAGGAGAATGTGTAAGAGAAGCCGGACTACTGCAAGGTGTAATCGGGGACATCGCAACAGAGATGATCACTGTGGCGGCTATTTGTCCGGTCGATACCTGGTAAATCGGCGGCAGTGACGGGATTCTTTGAATCAGAGATGTGATTGTTGATTCGTGCTTGTTGCATGAGAAGGACTACGGTTTGTTTGAGATCGGAGGAGGACGACGCTTCTACCGTCGGAGTCGAAAGAGGCGTTTTCGATGGGCAGCGGAGGAGGGGGAGTGCTGCTGTTGTTCTCGTCGATGAGAGGGACAACCGGAATCTGGGGGAGGGTTGCGGAGTTACAGGACACGGAAGCTGGGAAGGGAAAATATATATTAATTAAATTTCTATTTTGTTCAATTTACCCTTAGGTTGTGTTTGGATAGAAGGATTTGTACTTGGTATTTGTAATTGGATTTTCAATTGCCAAATCATTTGTTTGGATATTAATTACATTTGGTATTTGGATTTGTGCCAAATTCATGGGTTGATTTCCAAATACATGTCTAGGGTTTTACTTGTCAACTTCAAATACACTCCAACTTCTAGTGATTTGAAATTCCTCCTAACAAAGGACTGGACCTATTTGTAACATTTTAAAAGTTTAGGTACTACATTGTGCGGAAAAATATACAAAGGTATCAAAATGTAAATTTTCTCACCAAAATTTCAGGACCTTTTTGTAAAATTCTAAAAGTTTAGGAACTAAATTGTAAGAAAAAATAAATTTGGTACTAAAGTGTAATTTTCCAAATTTTATAGTAAGTGACCAAAAATTCAAAATTCAAATTAAAAAATCTAAAATTCTAAAATACCAACTAATTACGAATGAGTAACCAAACAACGAATTTGAATTACATGTATTTCGGATACTAGTAATTTGGCCTTGTTTGGTATTTACGA